AACTCAGAGCAAACTGATATCAGAAAACGTGACAAAGTGAAACACATGGGCGACTACGGGACTGACATTGGCAAAATGCAGGAAGCACTGACAGAAAAAGAAAACAATAGCTGATTGTGAGCGTGCAATTCAAGGCTTTAGATACCGTTAGTGCGCCTTAGCTCGATTACAAACACCCGTTTAATCACTTAGATTAGTGTCTTGCTCTGATATTTCATTGTGACTTGTATGGCAGTTTTTAAAGGTAATATGTCAGGTGCAGTATGTGAAATCATACCGGCCGCAGGCTATTGTCGGTGTTTCCATCAAATAGTGCTACCCCACCAAGATGTGCTGGCAGAACGAAATGACACAAGAGCAAGTCTATAAAAAGATAAATCTATAGCCAGTGGGAGACAATCATATACACCATCTCTATTCAACCACATAATTCCTGTCATTAACACTCCACCTGTCCTTTTAATAATAACTGTAAAGATATGGAGGTTAAAAAAAAAGTGTGTGGGGGGGTATAATCTGTCATCCAAACTTTTATGTTTTTTATAACCTATCTATTTTTTTCTGTCATGCAACAGTAAACATTTCTAGGACTTGTTTCTGTGGATTGACGTGATGACAGTTTGTCCTGTGATTAGAGCAGCTGCATTAGCAAAAGGTTTGTTAGCAATGATCTGCCGTTAAGAAGTAACAGATCTTAGCTGAAGAATGTACTGTAGTGTTTGACCAATCACGATTATTCAACAAGGCTGGGTTATAAATGTCATCAAAATCTTATTCAGCAAGTTTTTTTGTTTTTTTGCAATATTCTTTTTTAAGTTTTACATTATAGTTCTATTTTACTGTATATATGTTTATTAGTAATTTGAGTGTTTATTGCATGGCCTTGCGGAACAGTCTTCACATTTCACTGCACAGCTGTATGAGCATGTGACAAATAAAAATCTTGAATCTTTTAAAGTATTAACTCATAGTTTCCTTCTTTATAAGAGAAGCTGAGATTTTGGCCTCAGTGGAGATCAAACAGTGTCCTTGCTGTTTAGTTATAACTGGACATCAGTTTGTTTCTTTTTTTCTTCTTCTAAGTGATAAAGAAAGGCATAATTTGTATTTACAAGCTCTTTATAAAGAGCTGATTGTTAGACAATGGTACCGAGATGCAAGTATGTGATGAAAGCATTAATTTACAACAGCAGAATGAATATAAAAAGACTAATTGGCAGGTATTGTGAGATGTGTATTGGTGCCTTCTTGGGGTGCCAGGTTTCTGACATCTTCCCTGATAAGCTCTGGTTATTCTTCCATTCGTCCCACCCCTGCCTGCTATCAAAGGTGCTGCTCGGGCATGTTTCTGCAACGCCTTTTGGCACCCATGTGAAGCTATTTAAAGGGACTTTCTTTGATTCAACACATGCAGCCCTCGCCCTGAGCCTGCCTCTTTCTGGCAATGAAAGAGTGGAGTGAGTGAGGAGCTGAAGGCAATTCACACTAAAGTGTTCCACGTGATGTTACCTTTCAGCGCTGTTTATCTTTCTAAAGCACCCTAAGGATATGTAAGCTGTGTCAGCAAAGGCGGCAGATCGCCACCTGCTCCGTGTTTGATCCACCGGGGAGCTTCAGTTCAGTTTCGATGAACTGATAAACGAGAAGAAGAAGAAGAAGAAGACGTTAGCTGAATAAGTCATGGAACAGATCTTTAAAGAGTCGAATAATGAGAGATGATTGTCTCTTCATTCACTTTTTATAGATAAGATATCTTACACACCTACCCTGAAGCAGTTCTGCGAGTTCATCAGAGTTGGAGAAAGTAGTCTGAAAGTGCTTAGCAAGCTTCAAACAGGTAGAAAATAAACTAAAGCAAAGCCACTCAAGGAAGAAATCTAACTATTGAGAAAAAGTAGTTTAATAAAAATGCAGTCAAATTTAACCTGTGCATCGAATATGATATTATTACAAATCTTAAAATCAAATATTATCCAACTATTTATGTTGTGTTTTATGGTATGAACAGTATGTATGTTTTATATGCAGATTTTGTGCAATAAGGGTAATGTGTATGCAAGTGTGAAATCAGCATAACACTAAGAGGTGAAGAAAATCATTCCATCTATTAATAGTCTTCCATGACGATGTGGTTGGATGTCTTTTCAAAAGTTTCATTTTCATAAAAAACAAGCAAATAAAGTAAATAAACTGCGTCACTTGCAACTTTCATGTAGTTGAACTTAGACGGCTAACGTTAGTCGGTTATGAAGCCTGAGTCCTGCCACCTGTCCTAGAGAAAAGAAGAGTAACACTACTCACTGCTTATTTGGATGTCACTTAAATGTCTTTAGATCTCGGTCATTCTGTATCAATCTATGTGCAATATGAAGCTACGAGTTAACCAAAGTGTGCTAACATTAGCATGCTAACACAACGATGCAGGCCGCAGGAAGTTGCAGCTCGAGCAAAGGACAGTTTTTTTCCGCCCCTTGCGCTTATAGGTGCTCATTTATGGTGCGATCTAATTCATAATTCTGTCATGTGGCCGCATGTGTAAAGTGGTTGAAGGTGTGCCGCTGGAGGAGCGCACTCTTCAGAAAAGCCGTTTTTTTGGTTTCATGCTGGTGCTCAAGGGCGCCATCTACTGGATCGAAAGGTCGGACATTTTTCCTTTATTTTGCATATTGTTCACTACTTCCTAACACTGTGTAGTGTATGATGAGCCTGTCTAACCCTTATGGGTTTTTTTTCACCAAAGATCATAAGTCACAAGTACATTCAGGCTGCATGCTTTGAATCCATAAAAACTCTGTTGGGCTTCACATCCAGACGATTTCTCAACTCTCAGTGTCACTTTCCAGGTTTTTTTTCACCTCTTGATGCTCGTTAAAGGATCACAAAATCTCCTCACTTTTTGTTTTGCTTTCTCAACCTCCGATCTGCCTGAAAAACAGAGAAAGCCAAAGCCAACTTTCTCTTCAGATGTTCCCTTCACATGAGCAGGCGGGGCACGTTTTCTCCCCCTCTGATACGATCTCAGGTGTTTCCAGGTTTGGGGATCTGACAGACGAGTTGAAGCCCCTCTCACGATGTCAGTTTAACCCTGGGGGAAAACCCCTGAGACTCACAGGGCCCTCACTGCCAAGAGGAAGTACGACAAGTCCCCATCCTACATCCTACGCTGCAGTGTCACACGCTTCAGAGCACTCTATGCTTTCTAAAAAGAAATGTCTTACATTTCAGGAGTTTCAAACTAACTTTTTTTTTGTTGTTGTCATAGCACAGCTTCCACCTGTCAGTCTTAACATAATTACAAGATTAGCCTCCATACACTCATAATAAACAGAAAAATTAGCTATAGTGACCGAATCCACTTCTGAACTCCGTTTTAAGTACATTCTCTAGTGCTCATTTGAGGTTTTGTAGTTTTTGGCTTTTCCAATCAGAGGTTGCTGCAACATTCAGACACAAATCATCACATTTCACAGGAATGTCTCAAAGGATGAATTGATGAATATGATGTGGGTTGGCCGTCTTGTTCAGACTGATAAGATGATGATTACATCTGCCAGGCGCGTCTCACCCGTGGGTGTTGTGGGTGTTACGACACCCACACTTTCACTGAAACATAATTTCATCCCCCACACTTTTTACCAGTGGAGTCATCGATGAAAACCTATTGGTCAAGTAAGATTTATTAAGTGACAATTAAGCCAATCATAGCTGTTTGGTTACAGTTGAAGCACGTTAAAGTTACGTGCATTTAATCCTCCTGTCACTCATCACGGGCTGAGGCAGAGCTAACAAATATATACATCCACAACATGTAGCATCTTTCTGAAAGAGAGTTAGTCACCCAAACAGATGTTTTTAAGATAAATCCACCTCACTAAACAACAGAAGTGTAACATTTTCTCCTCTTGGTTGTTCTTTTAGCTGTATTTATTTACTCCCGTAACTTCACGATGTAGCGAAAGTCCCCTTTGCAGTTTTTCAAAATAAAAGCACATTTTGTATGAAGACCGGAAATAAAGAGACTGAGGACTGAGGCAATAAGAAAAGCTAAATAAAAGCGTCACAAAGAGCAGTTTTGAATCTGGTTTTTAGAGCTAACTGGGTTTCTCACGGATGTTCATAAAGTTAGTGTCTAATTATCTTTTGTAACTTTGTCTTGTTGTATGATGTGTCAGCTAACATTAGTTATTGGACATTAAATGAAATAGAATGTGTTGATTTGCGAGAGGGTGGTAATATACTAGCATTAGAACACCCGCACTTTTAAAATCGCTGCGCCACCCCGTCTGTCACTGCAGCTTCTCAAAAACATGCTGTTGGCTTTACATATCACACACCAGTGTGAAACACACACACCATTGTATTTTTTCTAATACAAGAGGGATAATAATAGGGTTGTAATTGCTGAATGGAACCCTGACAGGCAGAGCTTCATGTCGGGGTCTAGTCTCACCTTGAATGGGTTTCTCCATGATAACGGCCTGCCCGCCTAACATTATCACTCTTATTACACGGCTACATGAAAATCAATCACTTGATGCAGTTCTTGATTTGGAAATGATTTCAGTGAAAATGCTTCATTTCTCCACTATACAAATAGTCCGTTGGGATCTAGAGTTAGAGCTGCACCCATAGCAACAGTAATCACTTCTTAAAACGAGCTAAGCTAGCTGTTATTACTCACATTTAACAGAACATATCCACTGATGGTGAAGTGAGACAAGGTGAAAAGGTCCTCGTGAATCAGCACAGACCCTGATTCAGTCTCTCTGCCTTGTCACTGTCGGAGTCTGTAGACATTTTCTTTTCCCTTCATCATCTTTGTACACCACTGTGTCCCTTCCCCCCTTCAGTTCCTTGTGACCTTAATGTGCAATCATCTGTTTTGTAGATTTCTCTGTCATTACAAAAGTTCTCAACTTATTATTATTTGTCCTTTACATTTTTGCATATCCCAATAAGTAAAAACTTTTCAGGATTTAAATAAACTCTGAGTTTTTAAGTGGTTTTGATTCATATTTTTTGAGTGTTTATTTTGCAAACATTATTTTTTTTATTTATGACAAAATGTGATACATATTTTCCGATACAACTTTTCATTGACTCACACATCTTTTTGCATATCTGTACAGTATCTGAAGAAACTCTTAAACGATGACCTCACAACAAACTCAAATAAAAAAAAGTATTGCATTAGTTGGCTTATTTAGAGAATGAAGGACACACATTGTTTCCTTTTTATAACAGAGCACAGTTATCTTTTTGCGCCAGCCGTCTTCCATTTACATGAGGTCATGAAACAAAAATATTGACAGCCATTTACAGTTAATAAGTCCCACCTGCTGCTTAACCCGGGGTCAGCTTGACAAGAGTCCAGCTCTTCCTCTGCTGTGTTACAGATCATCAGCCAGTAAAAGATACAAAAACAGGATTCCCTGGACACGCAGAGATCGTCTGCCAGCTCTGTGGAACTGAGAGTATTAACAACATGTTTTTTTGCTGAGGCAAATATCTCGAGGCTGTCAGGAGATGGACAGTCCTTAAAGATAACTGCTTCCTCGAAAACCCCCCCGATATCTTTCAATTGTATACTTTAAACTGCATGAGACAACTGCCTATCATTGCTGTATTTCAAGTTAAGATGGGAAAAAAACTAACTTTTGGCCCAAACTTGGTACAGTAGATTGACTTTCATTGAAACAAATTTCTTTTCATCTACTTAATGAAGGGGATCCTTAATTCTATTCCCCATGTCATTATAGTGGAGCATACACATATCCAAAGTGGCATGTAAAGGGTTAATTTTTCAAATCATAATGTCCAAAATCAATTAAAAGCATTATAAAAATAAAAAAAGGGCACAAGGGTTAAAGGGGAGTTCCTGCGTTTTTAACCTGGGCCCTGTTTGTACAGACTGAATATGTTGAGGTTGGCTTCAAGTAAATTTTTTCAGGGCAAATGTACACTTACTTATTATGTCAACTAAAACTACTTCAGTTTTTGGTTCAGATTGTTATTCAAACTATTCAACAAACATTACAGAAGGGATCCCTACAGACAATTACCTTTTTGTAAGGTTAAATACTTAACAGCCATCATATCTCTTCCTTCGGCTCCGTAAAAATTGACATTTTAAAATGGTTGTTAAAGGGGCTTTCAGGGCTTTTGTAGGCAGCATCAAGTGGACACTAGAGGAACTGCAGTTTTTTGAACCTCTGCATAGGCTTCACTGTTCACCACAGAAGGTGGTCACTTGACAATTACATGTTTAATCTACACCATGTGTGTCTGTAATGATGCAAAATCATCTGAAATATTAAAAGCATTAATGTTTGCTTTATGTACACATTAAACCACAAGTAAGAATTTAGCTAATTATTTGATCTTGGTGCTGTCACAATCAATTATAGGCGATAGCTACACAATGAGTGAAAAACAGTCAAATATTTTCAGTTATCAGGAACAAAAAATGTGCTGCTGTATGAGTTTTTGTTCTCCTCTTCACCGTCATTCTTTTGCTCTTCTAGAAGTTTATCCAAAAGGCTCGGGGGTTCAGACTCCACATCTGGATCTTCATCGAGACACTGATCATGTGACTCAGGGTCCAGGGGCTCCGAATGCTGCGGGGGGTCCGGTACCTGCAGCTGAGGATCTACAACATGAGGGATCATGGTGGTCAGAGACATGGACATGGGCAGGTGGACAAGAGAAGAGCCAGGCAGCGCTGCATGGCCGGAGGCGTACTGGACCCCTGTGTTGGGCATGGTAGAGATGGTGGTGAGGGGCGGGGCCCAGGGCAGGTAGGTCAACCCAGAATCTTGGAGCTCAATCTGTGGGAGGGCAGCTGAAGCTGGGGCCATAGGTATGTTCTGAAACGAAAACAGATAGGACTTAAATGTTCCATCCATAGAAACATACTACCGACCGACCACAGAGAAAAACATTTTCCAGAGCTTACAGTTCCAGTTTTGGCTTCCTTTCGTACAGTTTTTTTTCCTAGGCATCAAAGATAGCATAGTGTGTCTGTATATCAGCACACTATTGAAATGAATGGACATTTTCATGTGACTTAAAAACATGACAGAAATAGATGTTTTTGAAGTAGGTTTCCTACGCCATCCTTAGCTCTTTTCACAAATGAACTCCCGACATAATTTCAGGAAAAGCAGGCCCTGATATTTCCAGGAACTTTGCCTTTCACACCTGAAACTCACTACGGGAGATTTTCAGTGTAAGAAGCCCTCTAACTCAAAATATTCTGTTTGTTTTAGTTTAGTGTGGGGGTAGGGTAGGTAACTGAGGGGACAGAAAAGAGTATAAACTAGAGAAACTCTATCACAGCAAAAATATCATGTTGAATGTTTCAGACTGCTGATTTCACATATCAGCTCCCCCAGACTTCTTGCAAGGTTTTATTAAGGGGCTGGCAAGATTTTGTTTGCACATGCACCCCACCTGGACAATATTAGGACATTTTCAAGATTGCAGTGCATGCTAACTTATTAGTTACTTAAATGAGGCTGAGGTGCTGACTACCATTGTTCATTTGGTGGAGCTGTGAAAGTAAGTACCCTGTTCCTCACAGGGGCATGTCAGGGGGGTGTCCAGGGGCCTGGGTCACCCTTGAAATCTGATTGGTCACCCTAGAATCCTAAAACATTATTGGCTATTTGTCTTGACAGAGGCAGGGCTTTTGTTAAAATCAACTCATTTGGCTGTGCTGCAACAGGCTGCTCGTTGCTTTACTTTGCATTTATAATGATAAAATATGCACAGGATTAGATCATTTTATTTGAATATTTAAAGTTAGTAGTTTAAGTAGATATCTCCATTCATTATAACCTGTTATATTTGGCCTTCTGAACAACTTTTTGACTTTTCATTTCACCTTGATATGGACTATTTAGTTAGCTAGCCAAGGTTGCTAGGGCTTGTGGGTGTAGGTAGCATTAAGCATTGCAATTCAATCAGGGTAAAGAACGCTGAATTAAGCCCACATATGATGCCTCACATATTACATCAGTGTCCAACTGATGAACTCCACTGTAACTTTAGTTTTAAAAACCTTATAATTAAAAAGATTCCATGAAGGCTAAAAGTTAAGCCTGGTGTCCAACTTTTTTCTCTTTAAAAATAGGGCTTCGAGAGTTCACGAAGTGTTTCGTTTCATCACATCCTGTTGTTGGAAAAGAGATGGCGAGGGACTCCAGGGTCGCCTTTATTTCCTGCTCACCCCAAAGTTAGTGAGCAGCGGTGTGTGTGTGTAGGTCAGCATGGTGTAGCTGGGACACAGAGTCTGCATGTACACATCGGCAGGGAGGGCAGGAGTGGAGGTGTAAGCGAAGCTCTGAGCTGCTGAGCGGTCCTGCTGGTTGAAGTCGGATGAAGTCCAGGGTGTAACAGCCATCTGCGGGCTGGCGCTGCTGGTGGTCGTGGCAGAAGCTGCAGCTTTCCATCCCGCGAAAAGCTGCCCTGCATCACTGACGGCAGGCAACTCAGACGAAACAGTGTCAGAGGTGAAGACGCCTGGATTTTAAAGACATGCAGGGACAAAGGTTTTTTACTGACGGGAATCAGTTTGTCAAATGTTTCTAGTAACACTCAGAGGTATCAGTCAGAAATTTACATTTACCTTGTGTGTACGATGACTGGTTGCTGTGTGAGACCACATCCTAATACAAAACACATTACGACAATGAAACAAAAGGATTGAGCATGTCAGTCATTTTCAGTAGAATCATAAACACACATCATGTTAATGTTTATATATAAATATTAAGTATTTACACTTGTACCGATCAAATCCAGGTGTCAACAGCAGCTGAGTGGAGCTTATTACTAAAGTGTGTGTGTGTGTGATTGTGTGTGTGTGTGTGTGTGTGTGTGTGTATGTGAGCCCTAGGGATACAAAAACATTTACTGGTGTGTACAGTATGTCTCTGGTGAATTCAGCTTTTGGAAATGATTCGAGTTAACCTTGACTTGGAAAAGTAGAAAATTAGAGGAATTTGATTGTATTATTGCAGCAAAGAGACAGTGTGTCGTGCCTGCAATGTAATCTTTCACAACCAAGGCACCTGCACAAAATGCAAGTGAGAATCCTCCAGAGTTAGTCATTTGTCTAAAGATCAATTTTTGAGCTTTAAAGACTGTATAGAAATAGGACAGTGGATGAAGCAGGAAACCAGGGAGAGGGAGAGGGAGAGAGAGAGAGAGAGAGAGAGAGAGAGAGAGAGGAGTGACATGATTCATTTCAGGATGAAGTTACAGTAAAACTCTGTGCTGGGATGCATAGTGACATGGGCCAGGCTGGCGGCGCACACTTTTTAACACCTTCTCTCCCTCATTATTCTAATAATAATCCTACATTCAGAGAAAGCAATGGTTTTACTGTTTAGAAAATAAACCGTGTGGAGTGCTGGTTTGATTGAAAAGACTGACTCAACCAAAAACAAAAAAAGTGACCAGAGGAGGTGAGCAGCATGACTCCAGACAAACTGGTCACATGCCCTGGGTCTGCGATCAGGCTGAGAGCTCAACTTGGGTAAAGGTAGCTATCAAGTTTACACTATTGGTACTGAAAGAGCTACACAGCTGCATAGAAAGTGCAGGATGTGGACTTTGCGGAACAAGATGGGAATCATCACACAGGAAGACAGTTTTAAACTTTGTTCCATCTGGGAGACCCTCAAAAACAGACTGCTTCTTTTATACCAGTGAGACTTAAATTCAGGATCTTATGGCACTGTTTAAAGATTGACTGTAAATGTAAATGTATGTGTTAATCTGCCTCATTGTATCAAAACATGTCATGTTAAATGAAATGTAATCCGTTTGAGGCCAGGGGCTACAGCTTGACACCAGTATTGATGTCACATAAACTTTGAACGAATGATCTCTGTTACCTCTCTATAGGCGAAATGTGCACACCCTGAAGTCCACTGTGTAAAAACCACATGCAGGAAATCCCTTTTGAAAGGTTTCTGTGTGCTCAAAGGAGGAAATGTATTTGCGTTGTATTGTCCATATAAGGAGGAGTGCATGATCAGCAGCGTACAAAACAGAATGTGTGGTGAAAGAAGATCAGGAGAAATGACCGAGTATGCAGCTGAAGTAACAGTACTGACAGCTTCTGTCAGTGTTCGGGTGCCTCTACACACGAGAGCAGCGAGAAGCCGTGTCCTGCAGACAGGCTGCAGGGCACAATTAAAGGCAGCAGTATGCGAGGAATGGAGTCAACGTCGGTGAGCCGAAACCGCAGTTCTTCAAACGGCCACATGATGCTGAAACAGCAAGTGAGCAAATCCTCACCAAAGAATATATAAAACATGTTTTAGACTAGATTCTGGTCTCTAAAGCTCATTTTAGGGTGTTTTATTTTATATTTTTTTTACATAACTTTCCACTTAAAATTATAACAATGCTCAGACCAGTAGTGTGGCTTGTTGTGCATTTAATTGTATTTAAACAGATGATCCAAGAACTTTTCTGTAAGTGAGATCTGTGTGGTTTTATTCACAAGTTAGCACTAGTAAGCAGGTGTCTTTGTCCCTACAGCTTGTTAGCTTATCGGTGGTTGTCATACATTGATTTGTTTGTAGTGAGAATATCAGTTATTCTTAAAAAGCACCAGCTTTTTAGCTTAATATGCAACGTACAGCGGACCTTTCACTTGATCAGTTTGCTTCTTTAGTTTGACAAATATACAACTAGGAGCTACCCACATAAAAATAGATTGTCATGTTTTGGAAATACAGCTAAAGAACTATTATTAACATTATAGCTTTGATAACTTTGCATTTGCTAACCCCACTCTCCTCTCAAAAGTCAATCTCTCATCCAAACATGGTCACTTCTAGCTCCATAAAAACGCAAAGCCTCAGAAAGCTTGTGGACAAACTCATTTCTAATGGTGCATTATTTGTACAGTTGGTGGTTCAGAGGCAGCAGAGCTGTCACATGCATGAATAACTGCAGAGACCCTGAGGAGCTGCTTGATGTTATAGAAGTTCTCTGTCATCACTTCACAATTATGAAAACTCCTCTAATGTCACGTTAACTTGAAGGTTGAGCCAGAGGAGGCTGAAAAAAACACATGACCACTGTGCTTTGCATTGTGCTGACGCTTGTTTTGCGATATTAAAAAAATAATTAAGATTCATTTTTTTGGCTTTTGTCTTTCTTTTGGATAGGACAGTAGATAAAGGTAATCAGGAGAGGGTGGGGAATTAAATGTGGGTAAGGTTGAAAAAAGCCACAAGTCAAATTTGATCCTGTACCGCCCACTTTTTGGAGTGCGGCCTAACTGCCAGGTAATCGGTGCCCCCCTGTGAGGCCTATCAGGATTTATTCTACTCAAACCAACAGGTTTAAACTTGGTGTCTAAGTCAACTTCTCATTTACAGTCTATGCTTCAAACAAGTACAAGAAAACTCCCAGAGTGCTTTGCTCTCTGAGACAGAATTCCATGGGGCACAGCTCTTGTGCGGGGAATGAAGTCAACTTCTTGGCTAATATTGAAACATGTTGAAACCCTTTGAAATACAAAAGTTTAAAGTAGATGGGAAAGAATAAGTCATTGTATCTTTAAACATTTTATAAAATAATTGCTTTTCATGAATTGAAAAATAGCAGTAAAGTTATTTCCTCCTCATAAAACTTGAAATATGTGACATGACAGGTGGTAGCTCGGATATTTAGAAAAAAACCCTGCGGCAGAATTTGTACATGTTCAGAGTTTTTTCTTCGAAACATATCCCTTTTAATCCTACTGACTTGGTTGAATAAAGGACATCAAGAAACTTGTGCCGCCTGAGGCGGCAGAGAGTAGGTTTGGTCTTAATAATATCAACAAAGCTTTTCAGCAATTGTGCTGCTAAAGTAAGTGTTGATGGGTGTGTTTAACTGTAGGGAGTGTAGAGTGTGCACTGTTACAAAGGAGCTGTTCAAACATAAGGATGCCGAAGCTCTCTGTTTAAACAATAATCCTTTGTGCTATATGTGAGCCTGCTGCACTTCATATCACAGGCTCAGTAAACCTGGCAAAATAAAGATTTGATTTAGTGCAAGAGAATGTCTAACATTAAAAGCCCAAAACCAACACATGCTCACTACAAGTTGTAAAATATGGAAGCTCTGAGCTCCAAAACCTAAAGATCTAGTTACCACTTCAGTGTCAGTTTTGCAAGTACAGAGCCATTATAAATATACAGTATTTGATAAAAAAAACAAGTAACATTTCACATCCTAAAGTTTGTAAATGCAGCATTTATAACAAGTGCTTCCAGCTGTGAAACAGTTGCAGTGTGATTATGTTTTAGCACCAAAATAACTTTGTTAGTTTAGGAATAAGATAAAGTTTTAGTTTTAAAGAATACCATACATGTTAGAAACTAAACTAACCTGAATGCTTCACACAAGTCTTCCAAGACAATGACCTACATGCCAAACCTAACACTGACATACATGACTTAGAAAGAAGTCGACTCTTTTAAAGAACACAACATCGCAACAACTGTAGGTTTCAAAAGACACTGCACCGAGTTCCCTTTTGTTTGCACGAACCATCTGATGCTGTAAACCAAACTTGTGATGTCCCCATGGATCCTTAAATCAAAGTCATTACAAAACAACAGGCATTAGGATCTGAAGAGGACTCTAGTGTGGTACCCACAGCATCATGTGTCTGGAGGCTGACATAGCAGCTGTACTTGAGGAGTAAGGAGTTATAACAGTTTGGTTAAATAGAGGCCATGCAGATGATTTGTCCTGCTAAGTCAGATTTCTGAAATGTCTGTCTTCACCTTTCTTTTCTTGTTTCCAAATTGAAGCTATATTGTGAGCTATTATTATGGGAGGGAGGTCTGTGGATTATCCAGAGTAACAAACAAAAAGTTTTATTTTCCATTTTGCATGTCCAAATTCATAATTCTTCTTGTTTGCTAATGCTTGTGACTTTTGTGCATGCAGAGCGCTCTGTGCTCTCATTGGTCAATGTCACTGATGTGACAGAACACATCGTAGAAGGCAGGAAGAAAATCAGACACGCTGAAACTTCTGGAAGTCCAAAGGCGTCCCAGTTGTGGTCCTGACTACCCAGGACAAAGTGATGGATTTACGGGGGCTGATAGGTCCCGAAACCCAAAGTCTGCCATATCGCGCAGTAATCAGGCTTATAACATTTAGTCTGTTCTCGGCATAACCTGTGTCAGTAAAACCAAAACTAGCTGCATGATTTTATGTCAACAGAGGTGAGATGGAATAAAGCTTATTTAACACTTTGGCTGAACTGACCCTCTAGTTCATATCTGCACTGACAGTGATACTATAGCCTAAATTAATTCATTATTTCTCAGAACATAAGATGGGTCAGCCTTCTTAGAATTTTTGGTAATTCGCTTGCATTGCCGAGCGTTAAAGAGAAGCGTGACACCACTCCTATATATATATATATATATTATCCAGAATTATGAAACTAGCGCTCCGCCAGCTGCATTCAAAAGGTAGAACATTTGCCTGCCAGCATCCCTGAAGGTAACTTATGAGCCGGCGACATGACTTATGTTGTTTTATCTGAAGTGCAAAAACAACAGATTGAGCTGTACTCGGATACATGCAGTCACTTTTTTTTTTTCCTGGACAGGCTGATAACTTCCAGGAGTTTTGTCGCAACACTGCGGTTGAGAGACAACCAGCAGAGTCTCTGGTGTCATCTCACAGAAAATGTCCACACAAACATTAAAACAACCACTTTCTGTCTTAACAGCTGACCTTGCTTTTGAGTAGAAAATACCAATAAGAGTAAAATCCATCTTTTAAGGGAAAGACGTACGAAAAATGTTGGATCATTCCTTAAAGATGGAAGGATGATTGGGATTTTATTGTGAATAATACAATTACAGTGAATGTACTTTAATCTACAAGTCTATTTTAGGCCTGCTTCCTTCGTACCTTCTGTCCTTCATCAGTCAAAAGAGTACAGGGTCTTATAACCTTCGATCTCAGGACCTTTTCTAACTGTCTGTTCCAAAAGTCAGAACTGAACTGGGGAAAAAGGCCTTTAAGTTTGCTGCTCCCTTTAAACTTCATGAACTTCTCTCGTTGGATGCTTTTAAGAGGAAGTTAAATGACTTGGAGGCAGACACATCTGGCTGTAGACGTTCTTCCTGATGTGTTTGTGGATGATTTTTGACAAACATTTTGTGTCTTTTAATGTATTTTGTATTTGAAAGATTGGCTGCTTGTTGTCCGTGTGAAACTCTGTTCATGTTTTGCTGCCTGTCTTGGCCAGGACACTCTTGAAAAAGAGATTTTTAATCTCAATGAGTTTCTTTCCTGGTTAAATAAAGATTAAATAAATAAAAAAAGTTAAACCTCTAGATGTAAGGTGAGGGGAACACTTAAAGACCCCAAAGTCGAGAAAAGAATTGTCTGGTCATACTGTCTGAGGTAAGCAGAGAAAATGATGACCACTTTGTGAAGCTCTGTCCACAGTTTGTGTGTCAGCACGTGCTGTGTGTCTCCTCTCCTGCTCTGGTAGGCGTTAATAAATAGCAAGTGGGAGGGCTCTTTGGCAAAGCTACATGTTATTTTGCATAGGGCTGTGTGCCCAGCCCTGGAGCCATGCGCGAAATGGCTGTAACTGTCATGGAAAAACACCTGGATTATATAAAGACAAAATCCCCCTCTTGGCTCTGGGATAGGCCCTGGGCCCCGACTGTTCACATCCTGATGACCCCACAGAAGCCTTCTCTTTCAGCTCTTCAAAATGTCATCTATAATTTGCTGAATAATTTTATAGTTGGCAAGAGGACTACAGGCCTGATCTGTCGTGCTGCAGCTTTTTGCAGATGTTAAAAGACAATGAGTAAGGTCTTTTACCTGCTTTTTGTAAAGTGTCTCGAGATAACACTTATGAGTTGAAGCTATACAAATAAAAATGTATTAATTGATTGAGAGTGCACGTGGAGGTTCAGTCGTGTGTGTGTGTTTTTTTTTTTTATC